TTCTTTGTCCTAGTTAACAGCAGACTTTAGGTCACTTTTGAGATCTGTTGCCAATTTGACCTTAACGAATTGATCCGATTTACTGTTAAGACAGTCATAGTCATCTGTAGTTGAAGCCTTAAAATTTAATATGAAATATTTAGATTTCAGCATTAAATATCCCATAGGTGTTGACATGCCGCGGGAAAAAACAACAGACCAACAACCTCTTCGCGCAGGATTACGAATCTGTAACGTTAGTTATATTTCTAAAAAATATATTTTAACTGTAATATCGCTATGACAAATAGTAGTTAAGATAGTGGGGGTTTGGATTATTATTATTATTGATTGATTGATTGATTGAGTGAGTGAGTGAGTGAGTGAGTGAGTGAGCGAGTGAGCGAGCGAGTGAGTGAATGAGTGAGTGAGTGATTGAGTGAGTGAGCGAGCAAACGAGTGAGTGAGTGAGTGAGTGAGTGAGTGAGTGAGTGAGTGAGCAGTACGCCAACAGAGTGCCGCTGGAGTACAAGTACACGATGTCCACTATATTTATATATGAAAAAAACTCTTAGAAGAGAACACATCAGGCATATGCATCACAATCTGTTATGGTCCGGTTCCTTGTGCCACGGTGATGGTCCAAGGTAGAACCAATAAAGAAGAACTCGAACACGGATATGGAATAACACAGATATATTACAAACAGGAATATATACAGAGAAGTAGAAAGTGTTAGTATGAACAATCAGGTTTAGTAGAGAGAACAATGTAGTCTCGACTAGTATCACTATTCCAATGTCTTGCAGTAATTGTCTGAACGCGACTCTGTTTCGGACTGCCTCTGACTCGACTGACTGACTCGCTCGCTCTGACTGACTGACAGACTCCTGTCGGACTTCTGACTCCAGACTTCAGACTGAATAGTATTTAGTCACCCCCACCCACGAGGGAATCATGTGGCACAAGGCCGGTTTAACGTGGGATCTCCGAGCCCGTGAGCTCGGCCAAAAATATGCCCTTTGAACCCGTATAAACGGGTTCAGGGTCGGTTTACCTCCCCGAAAGAGACTCCGCCCTTCGGCGTAGCCTCGTTCGGGTTCCTCCCCGCCCGAAGGCAGAGAGTTCAACCGATCAGCCGGTCGCCCGACTTCAAACGGAACTCTCTGCTTCCTCTTGAGGCGCAGTATTTATTACGTATGGAATAGTCCATTATGTTATTATGGATAAGGTCCCATAACACAGTCAAATACGTAGGATATGGCGAGTTGTTTTGAAAGGATGATCACATAACCTTGCGGGTGAGGCCCAGTTAGAAATACCATAGCCCCGTCAGATTGAGGCTTTCATATGGGTGCCATGAATGGCGCCAAATCCGGTTAGAAATCTCTAAACTGTCAGCTGTATACGACCGCTTCGTAAGATCAATGGTGAAAAAAGGCTTTGAGCGTGTAAATCCTGAGGATCTTGGCAAAGATCAACCTTCTTCAAACCTTGTGGACTGGTGCAATACAATCCCAAAGAACTGTATTAAATAACAGAAACCACATCACTTGGGGACTATCAGCAGCAAGCAACAACTAAAATGGATAGCACATGTAACTCAAAGAGAAAATAATGATATTAATCAAGATGTTAACATTCCACGCCACCTGAAATAGAAGGTTCGGTAGGAAACCCTTCAATACTGGAAAGAGCTATAACAGCTACTGGACTTGAGAAACCTGTTTTCCGAAAAAATGTTTTAAGAAAAATATTTTATAAATTTCAAACGAAAACACTACTGCCTGTTTAGTCAATGAATGTCAAATGTTTAGTAAATCTTTATCTAATATTTTTTTTAACATTTTTAAATTTAAAATAAATAGAAACATAAAAAGTTAAAATAATTTAATATTAATTTCCAACAAAGCAAAAGTTTGTTTAAAAAACAGCAAAAATAATATTTTCATTGATTGATTTGTTTTCTACGGTTTATCAACCTTTTGCAGGTTATTTAAAGCCATAAAATATTTTAGATTGTAAGAATTTGTTTGAGATAAGAGTTTTAGTGATACAAGTCCTACTAATTAACCCATATATATAGGGAGACGATGTGGATTCATACCTTCCCAAGTGTATTTGGGCGTAAGTGAATAAAATGAACCCAACCGGAATTCAAACTCGGCTCTTCGATTTCCAATATCGAGACGTTATCTATTTCAAAACACATCCACGCTTACAACACTTGGTATTCTTCAAGCGGTCACCTATCTCGTGAAATTAAAAAAAAAACAAAATATATATATATATACAGCTGTTAGGGGTGCTGCAAACTTACCGTTCTGTTTTACTTACCAACAAAATAAAAACAATGGTTAAACATGAGATTTTTAATGGCTTCTTAACCAGTTAACACTTCTGCTGCTAACTTCGGAGATCTTCGTTTTTCTTATCTTGCTCCAGCTGGCTAAGTACGGAAACCTACGTTTTTTTTTTCTTGTTTTTTTTTTTGCATACCGCTGGTATGAGTGTCCCGTTGCGCCATCTATCGTAAAATCACAAAGGACAATGCTTCAAAAGATATCATGTGTATACCCATTACTGATCTGGGAAGTCATTCCCAGGTATATCCATGAAAATGGAAGGCTGTAAAACACACTGGTGCCAGTTTTCTGTGTAATAAAATATGTAGGTTGAAATTTGGCATTTTCTTTAAAAATGGCTGGCCGGATGGGGGCAGCACTGGGCAAATGAGTAGCAGTGAGAGTGTTGAAATAACTGTTCAGCGCCGCCTTGTACGATAATAGTGATGATCATGATGATGATCATGATCATGATGATTTTGACGACAACAGCATCACCAACAGGATGAAATAATAAAAAAATAATAGTAATAGTAGTAGTATTAGTAGAAGGAGTAGTAGTTATAATCGCTTTCTTCATAGGCAATTATGTCAGCTTCTTTTCCGGTTTTGATGATTAATATATTACAACTCGAGATTATTGAATGCCTTCAATAATCTCAAGTTGTAATTATTTTCCTTACTCATTTCACCCCAAGCAAGGCAATAATGCCACGGAGGCGCAAGAGGTTAGTGAGTGTGAAAGAATATGAGAAAAAGAAAAACATTATTACGGAGCGAGAGGAACAAAACGAACAGGAACTAAAAAGACAGAAGATAACGACATTGCATTTCAATTTCTGAAGATCAAAGTTGACTGAAGACCAAGAAACCGGAAGTGAGTTCCACACAATAGAAGTGCGAGAAAAGGAACTGTTAGCATAGAACTTACGGTTGCAGCTAGCTATTTCAACTGTAAAAGGATGAGATCTTGCCGCCAATCTAATACCGCGTTTAAATTAATAGTCTCGGTACCATAGTGCGAAGTTCAATTACCGTGAAATTATTTACAGAAAAGTCACAGAGAAGCTACATTACGGCGGCGGGGAAATATTTGAAACCGAGATGCCAGGTCAAGACCAATGAACATTGCAGATTTTTTTATTGGTTTTATCAAGGACTTCCAAATATATAACAGGAGCGCCAGACCATATGTGGCAGCAATATTCAAAGCATAGACAAACGTAGGATAGATTCGGGCGAGAAAAATTGTCTGGCACGACACAGTGAACCAATATTCCTAGCAGTAGATCTAGCAATGGATTCAATATAGTCTTTCCACTTCATGTCAGCGGAAAACGTTAAGCCGAGAAGGCGCAATGAGTCAGTCTCCTTGAGGTTAGCATCATCCATGCTAATGGAAGGTAGAAAGGGTTCTCTCAGACGATTACTAGAGCACACTTTCATGCAATGATTATTATCAATAACAGAGAAAAATGTGTCGGGTCCAACGGCGACATCAACTACCAACTATAATTAAGTTACAAACTAGGAAAGAAATCCGTATCTTGACCAGATGCATTTAACACTCAATATGTGCATTTTAAAACCACCCGTCTGAACAGTGGGGTTGATAAGTGAAGTGTTCCTTTGGCTTTCATTCCTGGATAGGAGGACAATCGATTTCATTTGATCGATACATTTTCTACGGCGTTTTATTTTTTGATTAATTTTGATTTCATTTTGATTTATTTTTATTTTTTAATTCTTTAATTTTGATTTCATTTTGATTTATTTTTATTTTTAAATTTTGATTTCATTTTGATTTATTTTTTATTTTTAAATTTTGATTTAATTTTAATTTAATTTTATTTCTATTTTTTATTTTTAATTTTGATTTAATTTTGATTTAATTTAATTTTATTTTTTAATTCTTTAATTTTGATTTATTCTTATTTTTTATTTTTTAATTTTGATTTATTTTTTATTTTTTTAAATTTTGATTTAATTTTGATTTAATTTAATTTTTTTTTTTTAATTCTTTAATTTTGATTTATTCTTATTTTTATTTTTTAATTTTGATTTATTTTTTTATTTTTTAAATTTTGATTTAATTTTGATTTATTTTTATTTTTTAATTTTGAGTTATTTTATTTGTATTTTTTTAATTTTGATTTAATTTTATTTTTATTTGTATTTTTTTAATTTTGAGTTATTTTATTTTTATTTTCTTATTTTTTTTTTTTTGAGAGAGAGAGAGAGACAAAATAATGATTTTCGGATATGCTTTACTAATTAACACATAGCTATCGGAGAGGAGAGGTTGTTTCATAAATTTCCCAAGGGTATTTGTGCGTAAGTGAATGCAACGAACCCAACAGGAATTGAAACTCCGCTCTCTGGATTAACAATTTCGAGACATTATCCATTAAACTACCCGCAAATCCAAGCTTAGAGCATCTGGTAATCCCAAGCGGTCATCTAGGTACTAACTAGACACAGTGAAGCTTAACTGGATCGAACGGGATAGCCCATTATTCCAACCACACATCCAAGCTAAGTGCACCTTGTATCCCCAAGCGGTCGCCCATCGAGGTATTGACTTAAGGTATTGTTGCTTAACTTCGGTGATTGTACGAGAACCGGTGTTTCCCGTGATATGACCGTAAGCCAATTATTCTAACCGCACATTCAAACTTACAGCAACTTGTAATCTCAATCAGTCACCCACCAGAGTACTGACCAGGCCCGACGTTGCTTAACTACGGTGATTCTACGGGAACCGATGCTTCAATGTGATATGGCCGTAATTCCAACCACACAATCAAGCTTACAGCACCAGGTATTCTCAAGCGGTTACCCATCTAGCTACTGACCAGGCAGCATGCGGCTTAACTTCAATGCTCGTAGAAGAACCGGTGTTACAACGTGATATGGCCATAAGCCCATTATTCTAATCACACAACCACGCCTACAGCACCTGCTATTCCTAAGCGGTCACCCATCTTCTTGTTGCTTAACATCGGCGAATTTACATTTTTCTTATTTAGATCAAATTTTCTCTTCCGTATTTTTTTTTTTTTTTCATTTTTTTCGCCCGAGTCTCTAAACTAGTCGAGAAAGTTACAATAGCTTTCAAATATAAAATAAGCTAGGACAAATGGAGACAATGGACATTGGGAAGATTTTACAGCGCCATTCTTCTAGAGGGGAATGATCTGGTTGATTCTAAAATCAGCTTGAAAACTACTGGATATAGACATCTGAGTTCTAACATTGATCAATACTGTCAACGAGAAATACAACCAACTCAAACACAAGGCAGGTTGAATATATCTAATGCTTAGCTTAGTATCCGATGATTATGCGAAACGAATTCATCTCTTTTGTCATGACCTGAGGGAGAAGATTTCTAGCAACGGTTCCAGGAAATGGTTATCTTTACTGAACAGATCGATAATTAATCAAAATCTGTTTGTTATTTGTCTGAGATCATGATATTTCAAAAGCCTTTGAACGTTTAAATTGATCTTCACGCATCAGGAAATACCTTTAGTTACTCGCTTTAGAATTAGGGAGATACGTAAATGATATAAGATTTGCAGAATTAGTTTGACCATTTCGTATAATAAAATTTGATATTTAAGATTCTGGATCGATTGAAGTTGAGGATAATCAATAGAGAGAAACCTATAAATTCATTTGGAAGCAATAAAAATATGAGTGGAGTTTCCTAAGAAAGTGCCATTATTTTTGTAAATATTTTTTATCTCTTTGCCGAACATGGGAGACTTTAGCTGTACTGACAAATCTGAAATACCAGCTTTCTGCATGAAAATAAATGCCTATAAATCAAAAACACATAGATGTATCTGTACAATTTAAACATCTAAATATGTATATATACATACATATCTATCTATCTATCTATCTATTTATCTATCTATCTATCTATCTATCTGTTTAAATGATAAAAACAAAAGAAGAAAATATTATTTCTGGAAGATATCGTTTTCAAGATAAATAGAGTTTGTAATTATGTGGTGAATAACATGAACACTAATAGTAATAAATAAAATTATGAAAAAGAGTAAATTTTCTTAAGTAGTATCTACTTAACGCACACATACATATAAACACACATACGCCTTCCCCCATATATATATACAGAGGGAAGATAGAGAGAGTAAACAAATAAAAGTAAAATATTTGTTTGCTATAACACTTTAGTTAAAATGGCAACTTAGGTACGCTATATTTATGGGTAAAAATGTTCAATATCAGAGACAGAGCGTATGTACAGTTTAAACCGCGGTCAGCACCGGTGGCGACAGCCTGTTTATGATCGAACGTAATCTTCAGACATGTCATGGCTTGATATATATATATATATATATATATATATATATATATATATATATATATATATATATATATATATATATATATATATATATATATATATATATATATATATATATCAAGCCATGACACACACACACATACACACACACACACACATATATATATATATATATATATATGATAAAGTATAATTTTAACTTATGGTATATTTATGGCTTAAAGTGTTTCAAAATCAGGGACAGAGTGAATGTTCATGTAAAAGTGGACAGTGATTCAACACACAGAGACGACATAAACACAATCGTCGGGCGATATATATATATATATATATATATATATAGATATATATATATATATATATATATATATATATATATATATATATATATATATATATATATATATATATATATATATATATATATATATATATATATATATATATATATATCAATTGTGGGGAAGCAATCCCCCCTTTTATTTAAGTTTCTTTAAAGACAGCTGACAAGGTACTATGATTAAGCTTTTTATTTCATTTTTCTTGTGGTATTTTCGGGACCCAAAATGTGTAAAACTAGCACAAGTTTTGCATATCTGAGCGCATTCGGCTACATTTTAGTCATTTTTATTTTAGATATAAATATATATGTGTATTTGGGGCGAATGAATAACATGCGGAAAAATTCTATACGTCGAGGGACCTTTTGTAAGAGGACTTTTGTCAAATCGTTGAAATTCATAATTATTTATTGGTAATATTCGTTTGTCCTTCATTTTATTAACCAATTAATATATATATATATATATATATATATATATATATATATATATATATATATAATGTGATCGAAAATGAAATATAAATTCTAACGTTCACAGCATCATTTCGAAAGAGGGCTGAATACCGATATTAGAACAATTATTATTTATTATAATTTTATAATTATTTAATATTTTTTAATATATATATATATATATATATATAAAAAAAATCTGAGTAAAAATGTCCAATATCTGAGATAGATCGTATTTAAATGTAAGTAGCGTGGACGGAGATTTCAACATCGAATGCCGATAGTATATTTCATACTTGATCACCATCCCTGGTCCATGTATATATATATATATATATATATATATATATATATATATATATATATATATATATATATATATATATATATATATATATATATATATATATATATATATGAGTGTGTGTGTGTGTATGAGTGTGTATTGCACTTAATCTAACACTCCTTCATTAAATTATATACATTGCGCATCCATTTTTTAAAAGTAGAATTCAGCTAATAACAGTTTAGTTGTTTGATGAGGATTAACTAAATACAAAATACAAACCAAGGAAAATACAGAAACACTTGCGCGCGCACACACATGCAGAGGCAGACGTGCTATTGGTGCGAGATGAGAACGATTTAGCAGCCCCTCGCATATATATATATATATATATATATATATGTACGTATGTAAATAAGTGGACATTACGGTTCACACCCAGCGGCGACAGTCTGTTCCATGCTTGAACGCAATCTTCAGGCGAAATGCTTTGGGTATTGGCTCGACTGTTTATATATGCTATAAAATAGTGCATTATGGGTAGAAGATCTGTTGTCTTAACCTCACGGTTTATGTTTCAAATTATTCTAGAGACTAATAAATAGGAATAATTGTAGACCTAAATGCAGTTACTTGAATCTATTTCATAGTGTTGTTTGTTAACTGTTTTATTATTTATTATTGATTACTTTATTATATTTATTGATTATTATTCTTACATTTACTTCTGGTTATTTGTGCAAGCACATCACACGTGGTCTGAAGATTGAGTTTAGGCATGACACGGACTGTCGCCGCTGGGTATTGAAATCAATGTTCACTTTTATATTTACATACCCTCCGTCCTTGATATTCAGCACTTTAACCTATAAATATAGCATACCTTAGAGTTGTATTCGTATCATATATATATATATATATATATATATATATATATATATATATATATCCCTTTTTTGTCCCCTCAACATATACATATATATATATATATAGAGAGAGAGAGAGACAGACATATAGATAGATTGATAGACAGATAGATATGTATGATTATATGTGTATCCTTGCAATTACGATTTTTTTATTCAAAATTAGATGCAGCAAAGGTTTTATTTTTATATAGCATACCTTAGACCTGTATTCGTATCATATATATATATATATATATAGAGAGAGAGAGAGAGAGAGAGAGTGAGAGAGAGAGTGAGAGAGAGAGATAGATATAAAGAGAAACAGACAAACCGACAGAGACAGGCAGATAGATAGATATATAGATTGATAGACAGTAAGATAGATAGATATGTATGAGTATGTGTGTTCTTGTATTTACGATGTTTTTTAATCAAAATTAGATATAGCAAAGTTTTTATTTTATTACTCTTTAAAACAATGAGGATTTGAGTTAAGTAAAAGTTTATTCCTTCACCTGTTTAAAATTCTGCTAGGTTGACCGATCAGGTTCGAACGTAAACAACTCTCTTAAGTTAATATATACATTTTTAGGCCATATCCCAACTCCAATATTACAGCCAACATATAAGTCAGATATTTCCGACCCCAATTCTCTCTCTATTTCTCTCTCTTTATCATTATATTTCTTTTTCTCTCTCCCTTTGTATTTGTTTCTGTCCGTTTGTTTTTCTCCCTCTCTTTCTGCTGCTGCAACTTAATAAACACCGCCCATAATTTGCGGTGACGAAAAAAATAGCATGTTCCTTTGGTTGTATAAATCTAATTTAGCAATCAGTCTCCCCTTTATTTTTGGCTTCACGGAAAGGGATTTTTCCTCACGCAACCTTTTCGCCTATCCCCCTTTTAATGAAAGTGTTCATAAATTTCGCCCAAGAAAGGAATCCACCTTATCACAACCTCCTTCGATCGAGTTGACGCTCTTTTCTCAAGCCCCTGTTTTTTTTGTTTGTTTTTTTTTTACCTCCATTCTTAAATTTCTTCTTTCATTCCTTTCCAATCCATTCTAAATCCAAGCGTTTGATTTCTCTCGACCATCTTCTCTTAAAGGAAGTGTACCGATCTAAGTACAATTATAATTTGTTAAAGATTTCTGATTTACGTAACGGTTTGAAATTAGTTAATATTTCACTCTGTAGTATATTATTTCTAATATTCGAATATTATCGTCCACTACAATTTTGGACAGTATCTTTTCCTTCTTCCATAATAAATACAAGAACAATAGCGAAGAAAGGAACAAGATTAATACTTCCATCCAGCTAAGGCCTTCAAAACAAAGCAAAAGATATAATATCCACTTATCGATTAAAATTCACTTTCTTTTTATCTCCATGTACAATACTGGAAATATAAATAGAAAAAACGTGGGACTTGAATGAGTGATAGACAAAAAGGATGAGAAAGAAAGAAAGAATCGAGTTAGATATAAATAAATTTTAAACAGTGGAATTCAAAAGCCATATTAAATGTCTATGTATATGTCTATGTGTTTATATATATATATATATATATATATATATGCATCCAAG